AGGTCCATTAGGATAAAAACCCGAATCCTGGATATCCTAAGCTTCGTATGCTGTTGCATTGCCCTGTGCAATGCTGTTGCATTGCCCTGTGCAATAAGAGAATTAGGAGGGAATCCCGGTGTTTGGCTGCAATCGTAAAAAGTTATGTCCAAAAAATTATGTCCAAATAAGGCTGACTTCATGGTTACAAAGCTCACCTGTCATCATTCCTCTGAGTATTCTGAGCCATGAAAAAAAATGAGCCACGAAGAACAAAATCACCAAAAAAAACGCTTGGATGAAAACCTAGAACCCCAGATGTTGAGTAATATGTTGATTTTTTGGTCACAGTGAATGAAAAGCTATGTCCTGACTCTTCAGAAAAAAATTAGCCACCTGCATGTTCGATATGTGTGGTTGGATGAAAACCTTTGGGTCTGACATCCTTGACATCACCAAACTGAAGTGGATAAAAATTTGTCCTGGCTAAAAATGCTGACTCCAGCCCCTGGTTCTCAGCCAAGCGGTACAACCGGGGATGTCCAAAACCATCGGAATTGGTGCCGTTCCTAAGTCTGGTTGCATGAGCCACCCCTACGTCATTTTGGGCGAATGACCACCTCACAGAAACTAACAACCACTTCGTAAACCTCCACAGACTAAGTTCCATGACGAACCATGTGTTTGACCACCTCAAGCCGTGTTGCTTGCCTCTCCCGTCACTCGTCAAGAATGCCCAAACCCAGCCCAAAGCCTGCGGCCTCTCTCCCGTCCCTGTCAGATGCTGGAAAACGCGCGCCTGGCGTTTCTTCACCTCCTCCGCCGAGCGTAGGAGCTTGGCACGTTCCAGCTGCGCCAGGCTCCGGAAGAGCAAACAGCCTGGCGCCGGCTCCGTCGGCTCGGGACAGCTTCGATTTGCGGCCATGGAGCTGCGACACACTTTGGAGCGAAAAGACCGATTGTAGCTTCAGCAGAGTAAAGACACGCACACACATTGGCTGGGCCAATTTGCCTTCACACATTGGCTGCGATCGATCGCAGACTGTTACGTATCGTCCACTGAGCGATGAACCTGGGGCTGCAACGTTGTCGTTCCTGGACTTGCCGCCTTGTTTCTCCTTTTCGATTTCTTCCAAGACTTGAGTCTGCAAGACTTGCCCAACCAATATGTGACACCAAATCCCAGCCTGCAGCTGTAGGAGCCTGCATTAATTAACACCACATAATCATCATCAGACGCTTGGATGCTCATCAACGAAATACGCCTACATCGACGCTTTGATTACTGATCGCCATCGATGAGGACGATCAAAATCGAGCCTCACCCAACGAGTGACATCAAAGCGAGTCAAACAACATCAATGGCGAATACTTATGGCTATGGGAATCAATTTAAGGTATGGCTTGGTACTTAGCCATTAAGCTTAAATACTTAAGGAATACTTATATGGCTTTGGGGGGAATCGATTTAAGGTAGGTCCGGTCATAGCTGACCGATATCAATCCCAACTACTTCAATCCTACGACTCCGCTCCTCGAACATGTGAGGTTTCTATGGCCTTTCCAATGATGCAAAGGAACTAAAGGCAGAGGTGGCTCTTTCACCTGATCACCCAGCACACTATGAGTCACCTGATTCCGCCTTGCGGCCTCTACGAGGTGACCTGATCTTCGTCGACTGGTCGTTTGCCCTGAGATCCGTC